AAAAAAAGAAAACAAAAATTTTAATTTTAATAATAATAATAATAATGGTGATGATAATAATGATGATGATAATAGTGATAATGATAATGATATAGAACAAAGTTTCGAATTCCGATGAGAAATTCCTTACTCGTCGATTGAAAATATTAAAAAGTTATTTTTGTTTTATTAAAAACTTTATTTCATAATAATAATAATAATTATAATAATAATAAAATTCAGGTAATAAAAAAGTTTTTTTTTTTTTTGTACACATCTCGGTTTTCATCCCCTCCCTTCCTCCCTCTCCTACCCAAACTCTTCAAACTCTCTCCGTTCTTGAAACTCAAAAAAAAAAAAACTTTGAAGTATAGACTGAAATCGGACGTTTACGCCCGAAAAGTTACTACTTCTGCCCCTAATAATAATAATAATAATAATAATAATAAGGCAAAAAACGAATTGTTATTATTATTATTGTTATTCGAAATGAAGTTGAAAAACCATCGAAAAAGAAAAAAAAAGAGAAAATTTTTATTTCGTATAAGTAATATTATTATTATTATCATCATCATTATCATCACTGCAGGAAAATATTATTAAATTTTCAAAAGCATTAGTTTGGGGGAGGAGGGAAAGCGGAGGGCAGGAGGATGGAAAAAAAATTTTTTTTTTTTTATGTAGTAAATGTTAAGCGTGGTTAACGATGAGAGAAAATTTGTGTGTTTGTATGTGTGGGAGTGTGTGAGAGTGAGGGGGAGAAAGGCAAAAAGTTGATGAGAGATAGAGAAAGATGTAAAATACTTTTGGTATTGATTATTATTATTATTATTATTATTATTATTATTTTATTTAATAATAAAATTTTGTATTTATCCGAGTAGTAAATTCTTTCGTCGGTTTTTAACGGGATAGCGGTCTTTGTTTCGTCCTGCTTTTTTCTTCTGCTTTCTAATAAATCAAATCCAAATTTTTCTATATTTGGATTCATCATTATTAATATTGTTTTTTAGTTGTTGTTGTTGTTGTTGTTGTTTGAGTCGAGGAAAAGAAAAAGAAGCAGAAGAAAAAAAGTTATTTTCGGTTTGGTATACGAAATGCTATGCAAATTTATTGTTTAAGTTTTGCGTGAGTGAAAATTTTAATTAAATTTTATATTCAAATTTTATTTACGATCAAGCATTACGAAAAAGAACGGAATGGTTGACATTGAAACGAGAACAATTGATGTTTTTTTTCTTTTTTTTTTTTTTTCTAGAACTTTCGTTTTGACTTGGAGTGTGTGTGCGTGCGTGAGTGCGTGCATGCGTGAGTGTGTGTGTGTGTGTCGCGTTAAATCTGTTTTCAAAAGCAGAAAAATCTTTTATTTCAAAAATCCTCTTTGGAAAAAAATTTTTTTTCTTTTTTTTTTTTTTTTTGGCTCGAAAAAAACTTTTAAATGCCATATTTCATTTTATTTGTCTTTTGTTTTCATTTCTTTAGAAATTTTTTTTTTTTTTTTTTGGAAGCTGGAACGATTTTTTTTCCCGTTTTTTTTTTTTTTTAAATTCAATTTGGCGCATATATTTAAAAAAGGGGGGAAGTGAGAGGGGAGAAGAGGGAAGGGGAAAACGTTTCTCTAAGGTGTAAATCATTTTTTTAAGATTAAAATATTTGTTTATAATCGCGATGTTGGACGCCCTTTTTTTTTCTAAAATAAAAATAAACAAATGCGGGTGTTTGTTTGTTTTCATTCATTCATTCACTCATTCATTCATTCATTCATTCATTCGTTAAAAGAAAAAAAAACGTTACAATTTAAAAGTTTGTTATGAGAGAAAAGAAAAAGAAAAATGTCGAGTTTTTTTTTTTTTTTAGAAAAACGTTTTGCTATTAAAAAAAAAAAGAAAAAAAAATTACGTATGGGAGAGAGAGAAAGAGAGAGAGAGAGAGGGAGAAAAGTGTTTTTATTTTGATTACGTCATAAGTAATAAGAATTTTTTTTTTTTTTTACGTATTTTTTTACGGCAATATATTTTCCTTTGAATAGAAAAAAAAAGAGAGAGGGGGGGGGAAAGAGGAAAAGTAAAAAAAAGGTTTTAGTTTATGATGAAAAGTGGCGGCACGAATCGAAAAGTTGTAAATTGCGACCTTTTTCTTTCGTTTTTTTTTTTCCTTTTTTTTCCTTTTTTTCTTTTCCTTTTTTTTTTTTACTGTGAGGTATGCACGGTTCGAATTTTTTTTTTTTTTATGAAAAAAGTAAAAATTTAAAGTTAAAAATTACGTTTGAATAGTTTTTCAACATTTTACGTAAATTAAATTTTTCATTTTCTTTTCCCATAATTTATCTTATTTAACAAAAAAAGAAAATTTCAAAGGAAAAAAAAAGGAAAAAATTTAATTT